CTGTGTCTGAGGAGCCAGACAACATATCCATTGTTTTTCCATGTGCGAAAGTTTAAAACAGTTATATTTTTAGTAAGCAAGCGTCCGCTGGACGGAACTGCGCAAAACACATGATCGCACCTGCTATCCTGATGCGCTTCGCTATTTATTTACTTTATTTTTTACAGTCTGGAGGTGGATGAATTGAATAGTTTTGTAGAGGCTATTTCTCTTTCCCTCCAAGTTGCTGCTTACAAATTATCGTGATTAAGAAAATCAGCCCAATGCGATAAGCAGTAGTTCTCGGTGGACATTTTAGAGTGTTCTGATTGTAGGTTGTTAGCTTGAATGCTGCTGACTAGCATACTTCGGCGTGTGCGGTGGGTAAAACTGCAAGAGCTTTTTGGATTGTGATATTGGACAGCTGGTGCTGTCACCAACTGGACCTTCTAGCGGCTGATGATCAGTTGCAATTCCCTGGGCAAACTAACTGAGTATGAGACTAAGTGAATGAAAAAGAGCAGGCTGGATTGTGTGAAGTTACAAGACATCTTTTCCACTGCAGATTAGTGTTAGGGCTGTTTCTCACCATAGTATTATTTCAGCCGATTGGCAAGAGGAGTTTGGACAGAGTGGTTCTGATATACTGCAATCACCGCGTGATGACGCATCTTCAACGGTCGAGTCGCCGCGTGATGCCGCATCGTTTACTGATGGCAACATCCAGCCGTCCACTTCCATTCCAATGTCAGCTGAGATGTAAGTGCTGGTGACCTTCACTTTTGCTAGTGCGACATCCGTGAAAAGCGATCACCAGAGTAGAATAGGAAATTTAATTTCCTGAAGCAGTGCGCGAGAAAGGCGGCTTGTTTGCCGACATTGCAAAGAATGTATTCATAAATTTTTTTCTTTCCAGGGCGCACGCCGATGCACCAGATTCGCTTGGCGCAGATCTCACAGGTACTAAATTTTCTATGTTTTTCATCAGTTTATTCACTGATTGATTTGCGCCGTAGCTATAACATTACAGTAGTTTGCTTCCTAGTTTATTTTAGACATTATAGTGTTTTTTATTTTAGACATTATAGTGTTTAACTAACATATTTTCGCAGCACTAACAGAAGAACCACCAGAAATTACCATCTACACATTTCCTTTATCATTTCTAATTTCTCCTTTTTTTAATAATTTTATCACTTCCCTTCAGTTTTTTCTCTAAACTTGTGCAGTATGCAGGAAAAAAAATTTTGAGCTTTTTTTTGATTTGAATTTTTTCAGAATTTTTCCTTAACCTTTGCGTTTTCTTTCACATTTCTGAGGATTTTTGCAAACACCAACGAACGGTATACTGCAGGTGCGCTTGTTGATCCAGCCGAATTTGCTTCCGCGGGTAATCTTTCTGCGTGCTAAATTTTTAGCTACCGCACTGGTTTTGGTGTTAGTTGTTGTGGTGGTACCATTTTGGTGCAACTCTCCAATAATCCCAGTCGTTTTGCTGCACAGCACTCCACGCACTGTCGTGTTTTTCACCTCTCACAGACCTTTATTAGCCGCCATTCCGATGTTGTCTCTCGAAAAAGGGATATGTTGCGATCAGCACGTGAGCTTAAGACCGATGCTTACGAATGCGCAGCAAGCTGGGAATCGGAAGAGATGAGAGCGATTGTTGCTGAAGTTGGCTAAAATTCGCATGCTTAAGATGGTGCATGTAACGATATTTTGTGTTATTTCTTTTGAAGGTTTTTTTTTTTTCACCACGTTTTCTTGCTGCCTCACCGTACGATTTGGGGGTCTTCGATTTAGCTTCTTCGAAAATTGTACGTTCCATTTGTTGTAAGCAGTGGCTTGGTAGTAGCGCCCGATGCACTCGTTTCTTTGTTTGCCTGTAGCGGCAGTGTGTTGCTTGCTTTATTGTTTGTTTTCTTCAAATGCTTCTAGAGGAGTTTTTCACGGATTTTGGAATGGAAAAATTACTAGTGGATGCTAATAGAAGTCGCACCGACGGCACTCTCTCATCGTCTTCGTCGATCTCACTCAGTGCCCCCGCACTTTGCTCAGGTTTTTTGGTTTTATTCTTCATTTCATCAATCATACGCACGAAAAAAGGGATGAGTTGGCAGAGTTGAAAGATTCATCATTTTTCTTCCTCATTTTTATCGTTTTCTTTTTTT